ATTGGACAGCTCCAGAGGCTTCCTAATATCACAAGGAAGAGCGTTCCAGACGGCCGCAGAAGCGCATCTGAAAGCGCGCGATGCGGCGACCGTCTTTGTTCGATCGCCAGCCAAAAAGCTCCTGCTGCTGCTGCTGCTGCTGCGAGGATGATCTGAGTTGGCGTGGCTGTGGTGTTTATGCTCCTTTGAGGAGCTCGTCTTGCGATGGCTCTCCCCCGCCACTAGCGTGTCACTTGGCGTCGCCCGGCCTCCCCGAACGATTGTTCGCGGTCTGGAGGCAGCACCTCGTTTGTGTCTCGAGATGCTACGGGATGAAATTGCATTGTGCTGCCGCCCTCTTGCTTGCTCGGATGGAAAGCATAGCAGCGAGGGGAGCAAAGGTCGTGGGTTCGATCCTGACCCATGACGCCTGCTGTATATTTGGAGTTTGCGGTGTCTCTCTCCCCGTGGGCGCGTCGACTTTTCTCCGGGTCCTCTGTTTTTTCCCTCCACCTCTTTAATCAACATCACGCGCTGAGAGTATTTGGCTGCTGCTATAAATGTCCACGCGATGATAAGCCACTTCGCTGAGGTATCATTTGTGATAGCCAGGTCGCATTTCAGCTCAGTGGGCGTTACCAGTTTCGTTTTTTTTTGTTTCGTTAACAAAACGAATCCCATTGTTGTGTCTCAGTGGGTGGTTTCCCAGCCAGGCGATTGTGGGAAGGGTAATTGAATCGGAGCTAGCGCAAGAGCCAGCCGTGACGGGACCACGTAGCCTCCCCCCCCCCATTTCACTCGACACACTCGCCTCTCGCGCTCACGCGATTGGCCGACGCGTGCAGGCGAAACACAGTTTACTTACTGATGTGAGATCTGGGCCAGCAGCTATGGGGGGCCGGCCCTTGGTGGCGGTGGGGGCACTTAGTGAGAGAGGGGGAGTGGGGCAGCTTGTGCGTGTGGGCAGCGGAACCCGACGACCCGAGTTCGATTCCTGCCGACGGCCACCCAACACCGGTGACGCTGAACTCAGCCGGTTCTGAACCTCCTCGAGGTCTACTCGGCCTCAAATGAGTACCTGGTGCGGTGCGTAGTAAGCAGCGCCACTGGGGAGACAAAGGCGGCCAAGTGTGGTGTCGGCCACACACCCCCTCTCGTGTGCCGTGCCGACCTTCATCGATGCTGCTACTCGCTAACAGCCCTTGGCCCAACAGCCTGTCAAGGCTATATGGGGGCGGGGGATCTTTGCCTTTTCGGGGAGCAGAACCCGACGACCCGAGTTCGATTCCCGCTGACGGCCAACACCCAACCCCAGTGACGATTATCTGAACCAGTCCTGGGCCTCCACAAGGCCTACTCAGCCTCAAATGAGTACTTGGTGTGGTGGGTAAACATCGGCGGCCACCCACACCCTCGTGCACCGTGCCGGCCTTCGTAGGTGCTCGCCAACAGCACTTGCCCCTACAGTCTGTTAAAGGCTATGGGGGGGTAGGGGGGGGAGTGTCTTTGTGTTTGGTTTCCTCTGGGGGGGGACTACGCGATCACGAGCGCCGAGCAGCTGAAACGTGGCGCGGCGCAACAACAGCTGACGTCTGATTCGGTGGAGCGGTAGGGGGTGGCGGCGGGGGGGCGGTGGAGATCCAGAATTGAGAAGAGGAGCGTCGAGGAGGGAGAGGAGGAGAAGGGGACGGAGGGGGAGGGCGCAGGGTTTTTATGCTCGCACTTGAAGCTTGGCCTTTTGGCTGGATGGAGCTCGAGTGAAGTGGCGAATCTTTGACACGTGCAGCCTTTTTGTATCAGTCCCCTAATCTTATGTTATAAAACCATTAAAGGACACTTTCTTATTTTGCCTGGTGAGGCCCACTGAGCTCTATACAGCTCTATTTCAGAAGCGACCTGGCCACAAGCGGTAACTTGTCAAGAGCCTTTCGAGCGACCTCTAGTCCATATGTTATGGGGCAGCACCCGCGTCGATTGAGCGCGTGCGGTCTTCCCATTCGGCGTTCCCTGCCGCTGCTGATGATGTCGCCGAACCACGACGGAAACGGCGATTCATCCGCTGTCTCCGATGAGCACGGTTGGCTACTTACGACGCAAAAAAAGTTCAACGTACATTGCACACACGAAGTGCTTGCCACAAATGAACCACGGTACCTCGCTGATCTCGTCAAGGAGCATAAACCATCACGTGAACTCCGCTCATCCTCGCGGCAACGGCCCACCGCATCGCACGCTTTCAGATACTCTTCTGCGGCCGTCTGGAACCCTCTTCTTTCCGATTATTTGGAAGCCACTGGAGCTATATGCACTTTTAAATCTAGATTGAAAACTCATTTCAATATCACTTATTTTTGTTTTTAAATTTTGATTTAAAGCTTTCGTGACTGCAGCAATTCATATTCTTAGCTCTTTCGGTAAAGTCACGTTGAAGGGAAACAATAAAATAATAAAATATATATAAAACAATAAAATTCTCACGACGTTTCGACCATAACACAAACAGTCATGTTTGTGTTATGATGACCGTTTGTGTTATGGTCGAAACGTCGTGAGAATTTTATTGTTTTATATATATTTTATTATTTTATTGTTTCCCTTCAACGTGACTTTACCGAAAGAGCTAAGAATATATAATACTTATTTTTGTATTCTTAGTTTTTTCGGTAAAGTCACGTTGAAGAGGAGAAACAACAAAATAACAAAATATATATAAAACAATAAAAAATTCTCACGACGTTTCGACCATAACTCAAACGGTCATCATCAGGTGTGTTGGTTTGCATACATTTATTTTTAAACGGCACATTTATTTATTCATAAAAAACGTTGGCGTCACGCGCAGCGATTTGGCAGTTTGCCCAGGACTAGTCCATCTTTTTTTTGAAAAGAGGAGGGGGGAGACGAAATTTTTTATAATGTATGCTGTCTGAAAGCCACTGTAAGCGTGAACAATCAATTAATTGATTGAACAATCAATTAATTGATTGCCTTTCTGCCGCAGCTCCAATGAGCAGGGTTAACTGTGTTCGGTACGAAAGAAGTTCAACACACGTACATGCATACGTCTCTCTGGACGGCCGGGGAGCATTCGGTTCATAGGCAGATGGATGCTGCCGGCTGTGATGCGTGTGGCCTGTAACACAAAAAACTTGCTCCGTGGCTGTTTGCCCCGAGGTCACCCCGAGGTCACCCCAAGGTCGCCATCTCCTGGCTTGCCACGGTATGATGGCCGTGTACCTGCAGGATTAATTCCCATTTATATTCCATCTTCACGGGGATCGGCCGTTGACCTCCACCGCCCCCACCCACCCACTCACATGTGTGGGTCTCGGTACACCCTGCTAAGATCCTGGCGGTCCACACTCTCATTTAGCTGGCCGCGCCAAAAAAACACGAGTTGTTCATCGATTCGCTCAACCTGGCCTGAACCGCCAACTCAGGCTCACTCAGCCCAAACGTCCATGTGCAATGTGGACAACGTTGCGCGCGGAGGCAAGGGCAGCAGAGCAAAGGTACGGACCCACCACCGCCTCCCCCCAACCCTCTATCCCCCCCCCCCGCTAGCCGCACGGCGCCCCACCAGCACAGCCCGGCCACATGTGGGATCTCTCTCTGTCTTTTGTTTTTAAACATGGATGGCAGATGTACGGGCTCACGGACTGTGTGCGGCTTCTTGGCAGGTTATTTTGAGTGAGTGTGCGTTTGTTTTGTCAGCGGGCTGCTGGACGCGAGCGTGCGTAGTTGGCGCTACGTAGCTACGCGCATCGTTCCTTGGGTTGGAGCGGTGGCGCAGCGGTTAGTTAGCGCGCTGCGCCACAAACCCGGCGATCAGAGTTCGATTCTCGGCTCAGGGCCAGCGTCGGTTACGAATATCTGAACTCTGTCCTGGGCCTTCCCTAGGTCGTCTTAGCCTCAAATGAGTACCTGGTGCGATGTGTCAACATCGCCACCCGGGAGACAAAGGCGGTCAGACATGGTGCCAGCCTTCATAGGTGCTCCCTAACAGCACTTGCCCCAACAGTCTGTGAAGGCTTAGGCTGTACGAGGGATCTTTGTCTTTGTGGGGAGCAGAACTGAACAACCGAGCTCAATTCTCGCTTACGGCCAAAACCGGCGACGATTATCTGAACCTGTCGTTGGTCTCCTCTAGGTTGACTCTGCCTCAAATGAGTACCTGGTATGGCGTGTAAACCGTTCCGGCCTTCATAGGTGCTCGCTAACAGCACTTGCCCCAACAGTCTGTCAACGCTATACGGGGGAGGGATCCTTTGTCTCTGTTCCTTGGAAGGTGGGGGCGGTAGGGGGGGTTGTGACCTTTTGGCAGGCATTGAGTGCGAACGTCAATCGGCATTCAAACGAAATGTCTCGGCACCCGTACCCGAGGCGCGTGGATTTTATAAACAGGTGGTGGTCACGAGCGAGGCGTAGCGTACTTTCATTTTGAATAAAATGTGTTTGCGTAAGTAATGGGGGTTTTTTTTTACGTGCGCGTGCGTGGTTTGTCGGAGTCGACGTGAATTCGGTCGGCACGACCGCCGGCGTGGATGATGGGTCATGGAGTTGCAGGAACCTCAACGGGGGATGTTGACGACGCGGGGAGGCCTTCATCCAGCAGTGGATAGATCATAGCTTACTGCCACCTCGCATAGCGCACCACCTCGCATTGAGCCACCTCGCATCGTGACGCAGGAGTGTGATGAGAGGCCGGGATGCATCTGACATCCGCCACTCACCCAAACAACCTAGTCACCCACCCGACCAACCTGACCCACCCACCCACCCACCTGACCAATCCACCTCCCACCCACACAACCTACCCAACCCACTCATCCGACCAACGCACCAATCAGACCAACCTGACCCACCCACCCACCCACCCGATCAAACCCACCCGACCAGGAGCAACCCCTGGGCAGGGAGCTGGCTTTCTCGGGGGCTTGGGGCCTAAGGGTCCCGCGCTCGCCTCTCTGACTTGCCGTTAACTCCGGTCGCGTGCGCGCTCCGCGCCGCCCCGCGTGCAGTTCCTAGCGCAGCTGAAGATCATGGACTACAGCCTGCTGGTGGGCATCCACGATGTGGAGCGCGCCGATCAGGACGACGACGACGTGGAGGAGGGGGAGGAGGGCGGGGAGGGCGGGGAGGAGGGTGAGGCCGGCGCGGAGTGGGCGGGGGGCGACGACGAGACCGGCTCGGACGCCAACGGCTCGGGCGGCCCCGTGGGGGCGGTGGGCTCCTACGGCACGACGCCGCCCGACTGCTCGGGCTTCTCCGTGGCCGCCTACAAGCCGATGGGGCCCGGCGAGTTCGACCCCAACACGGACGTGTACGCGCTCAAGGCCCACGAGAGTGAGTCCCCCGCCGCTATCTCCGCCGCCATCGCTGCCGCCCCCCTGCCGCCCCCCTGCCAATGAGTTAATTCGCGCGGCGTTTAGACAGGCGCCACGGTGCCTAGGAGATGTTAACTCCCTCTCCTGGTCCACAGGAGTTGGTGGGTTCGATCCCGACCCCTGACGCCTCCTGTATATTTGTTTTTTCCCCTCATTTAAAATCTCCAGGTCCTCTCGATTTTTCCCCTCCACATTTAGAATCAATGTGCGTTTTGAGTTATTTGGCTGCTATAAATTTCCACGTGATAAGCCACTGTGTTGAGCTATCATTTGTAGCCAGGTTGTTTCTGAAAAAGTGCAATATAGCTCAGTGGGCCTTACCTGATAAAAAAATATATAGTTGAGTTTTAGTATAGTTGTTTAATTATTCTCAGTGATAATATCCCGGCCCCTTGACATCTGATGCTGTGTATTTGGAGTTTGCGTGTCACTCTCTCCTTCCCCGTGATCGCATGTATTTTTCTCCGGGTACTCCCGGTTTTTTCCCCTCCACGTTTAGAATCAACATCGCGCGTTTAGAGTTTTTTTGGCTGCTGGTGCTGCTGCTGTAAATGTTAAGCCACTTCCATTAAGCAATCATTTGTGATAGCCAGAGTCTCGTCTGTAAAAGAGCTATGTAGCTCAGTGGGCCTTATCTGGTAAAACAAAAAAAATTGTTTAGTTTAGAGTGCATGGGGGTTTTGAGTTTTTAAAACAAGTTGCTGAGCACAGGCCCTGAAGGTCCAAAGCATCAAGCAGCCAGCAACAAACAGCTGCAGCCCGCTCGGTTACTAATACAGTGGTACCTCGGAGATCGAACTTAATTCGTTCCAAAACCGTGTTCGAACACCGAATTGTTCCAACACCGAATCAGTTTTCCCCGTAAGAATGAATGGAAATCGCATTAATTGGTTCCCCACCCAAGGATGCTCCTATTATGGGCCATTTTTACACAAAGTTTACAATATTAAAATACAGTGCAGTACATAAAAGCATACAAAAAAACAAGAAACACAGTTATAATTAATAGAATAAATGAACATTGAACGTCACTTTACCTGTAGTAAGGAGAGTGGATGGCTTGAGTGGAAGGTGGTGAGGAGGGGAGGAGGAGGTGTCAGTGTTGCTTGGAAGGGGAGTCCCCCTCCATAAACACGTTGGGTAACTGCCCTTCTGGGGTTCTTTCTTTTCTTTGCCTTTTTCCTAGCACTAACTGTGATTCACTTGAGGGCCTTTTTACTAAAAACTGAGCCTCCGTTTTAAGATGTTTCTGAAATTACTCATTGCATTAGCATTATAAAAATTGCCTGCTCCGCTGGCAATTTTTAGCTGGATGATATTTTTCTACAAAATTGTGTAACTCAGCCCATTTTGCCACCGTTGAAAAAGGGCTTTCGTGTAGAGTTTTTTTAAAGTTGTAAATTACCTGTTGGTCCATGGGCTGGATGAGAGGAGTCGTATTGGGGGGCAGGAACTTTACAATGATAAAGGACGAGAGAGCTACGAGTAAACTGGGTCATTCGCCTTTGTCTCGGTCGCCCTGGTTATGCGTCTCGGCCCAAACCGGTTCTTTCCAGTTGTTCGACCTCCGAATTTTTGTTCGATGTCCGGGGCAAAAAAATGGTCGAAAATTTTGTTCGATCACCGAATTGTTCGAGTTCTGGGGCATTCGATCTCCGAGGTACCACTGTACTAACATTATTGTTGCGGGTGAGTGTGATGAGTGTGTGGTTGTGACCTGCAGTGTGGTGAGCAGGTGAGTGTGATGAGTGTGTGGTTGTGACCTGCAGTGTGGTGAGCAGGTGAGTGTGATGAGTGTGTGGTTGTGACCTGCAGTGTGGTTGAGCGGGTGAGTGTGATGAGTGTGTGGTTGTGACCTGCAGTGTGGTTGAGCGGGTGAGTGTGATGGGTGTGTGGTTGTGACCTGCAGTGTGGTTGAGCGGGTGAGTGTGATGAGTGTGTGGTTGTGACCTACAGTGTGGTTGAGCGGGTGAGTGTGATGAGTGTGTGGTTGTGACCTGCAGTGTGGTGAGCAGGTGAGTGTGATGAGTGTGTGGTTGTGACCTGTAGTGTGGTGAGCAGGTGAGTGTGATGAGTGTGTGGTTGTGGCCTGCAGTGTGGTTGAGCGGGTGAGTGTGATGAGTGTGTGGTTGTGGCCTGCAGTGTGGTTGAGCGGGTGAGTGTGATGGGTGTGTGGTTGTGACCTGCAGTGTAGTGAGCAGGTGAGTGTGATGAGTGTGTGGTTGTGACCTACAGTGTGGTTGAGCGGGTGAGTGTGTGGTTGTGACCTGCAGTGTGGTTAGCGGGTGAGTGTAATGTGTGTGGTCATCACCTGCATTGTGGATGAGTCGAAACAGTCGGTGTCTGATAACCCGAGTCCTCAACACGGGTGGAGGAAGCGATGAGTGAAGTTCTCGGGAACCGTGACCATCGCGGTAGCAATGGAAGAGTGATAAGGAGGTGGCCGACCGCCGACGAGCGAGCCAGCGAGTGAAGCGGCCCGGCGAGCCGCGGTTGGTCAACCGCCTCGACGGTGAACTCCACCGAGCGCGGCGACGTGGCAACACGCACGGCGCGTGTGACCCCTGACCCCCCCCTCCCCGCTCCCCACCCCACCCCTCCCCAACAAGGTGCCCCGCGGAAAGAAGTTTACTTCATGGCGATCATCGACATACTCACCCACTACGACGCCAAGAAGAAGGCCGCACACGCAGCCAAAACTGTGAAACACGGGGTGAGAGTCGGCCATCGCCGGGCCTCCGCAGCGCGACCGCTCATGGCACTGCAGCCCGTCACCCGCTGGCGGTGCCGCGAGTCCGACCTGTCGCTCGCACGCCCCGGCCAAAATTGACCGCCCGCGGCACCCAGTGGAGTGTTTGCGCGTGGCGGTATGGCCTCTCGAGCCGGGCGATGGATACGTTCGATGTATTTGCGTTGTAGTCCTCTGTGCTGTTCGCCTCGTGGCGTCGTTCTCTGTGGTCCAACGCCGGTGGTGACACGAGGCCCTAGTGGGGAGGCTGTCTCTGGTGGAGGCCAATCGGTTTGCATGTTTCGCCACAACTACGAGTGGTTGAGGCAGACTTTGATCCCTTGCAATAGTTGTGGGTGTCTACTTGGCGTTCGAACATCTTGACACCTCCTCCTGTGTTATGGGCAGAAAGGGTAAAGCCTCTTCTTATGTTGTTGCATCATTTTGATGGTACTGGCACAAAAGGGTCCCGTAGACATAGCCGTAGCTGTCAGTAGACATTCATGAATCCGACCTCATCACGCGCTGTCACGTGTTTCTTTAATCTTGAGTGCATTTGCTCACGCCCGAAGCAGAGTGAAGAATCGCCCCACGGTGAAACCAGTTTAACGCTTTCTCTTTTGTCCGGGAACCTTTTTGGTGCGTGGTGCGTGGTGGTGGCGGTGGTGGTGTAAACCGCCATTTTCCACAGACGTTAAAGCTAAACTAAACTTTTTTTAATTTAAAGCTTTCGTAACTGCAGTGATTCAAATTCTTGGTTCTTTCGGTAAAGTCACGTTGAAGGGAAACAATAAAATAATAAAATATATATGAAACAATAAAATTCTCACGACGTTTCGACTGCAACACAAGCAGTCATCATCAGGTGTGAAAACCAACGGCAAGAACTAAACTATTTTTTATTGGACCATGTAAGGTCCCACTGAGCTATAGAGCGCTTTTTCAGAAGCAACCTGGCCACATATCATAGTTCAACGAAGTGGCTTATTACTTGGAAATGTATACGAGCCAAATAACTCAAAACGCACGTCGATTCTAAATGTTGGAGGGGAAAAGTCGGGAGGACCTGGAGATAAATCCACAATAACGATAAACGACGACTACGATGATGATGATGATGATGATTTTGGTGGTGTGTGTGGTGTTATCTGTACGCAGGCTGGAGCGGAAATCTCGACGGTGAACCCCGAGCAGTATTCCAAGCGATTCCTGGACTTCATGGCAAGCATTCTAGAATAGCTTCAGTCCTGCCTCCTGGCCTTCGCTTAAAGGCTGCAACGTGAATAGTGTATTATTGATATTATTAATATGATTATCATTATTATTGTCAACAAGTTGATGAGTAAAGTGGGACAATGTTGTTACATAAAAAAAAGAGAAAAAAAAACATTTTTTAAAAAAATGTTTGTTGTTCCAGTGAGTTTTACGCAGCAGAACTTGTGACAGAGTCGTGGAGAGGCGGAGATGATGTGGGGGAGTGAAGGAGGGAGGGAGGGAGGGAGCGGGAGGGTACGGGGAGGGCTGGGGGGGGGGGGGGTGATATGTTTTTTTCTGCCATTGCCTTTGCACTAGTTCCGTTAACACCACGACACGACACGCGGGGGTTGGGGGTGGGTGGTGGACGGCGGGGGATGCAGACTAACGGAGCGACTACCGCGAGTGTGCGCGTGCTGCCTCCTGGTCGGCCGAGCCCTTCTCCTTTCCTCTTTCTCTCTGCGGGCCACCGGTGGGCGACCTTTGATCAATGTCCACGTCGACCGGTTGCCGTGCGTCGCTTCATGCAGGCCTCGTGGGGACACGTTCCCCTTAATCTCCCGGTACAACGACGCGGGTCACCCGCGAGTTAATGCCACGTTTCCTCTCACTCGCTCGCCGCACGGACGACGAGACGGCTCTTGCTGCGGCGGCGGCGGCTCTTGCCGCGGCAGAAGTGGGATGGGCGACCGTGACCGCGGCACGCGGGGGGGACCGCATTCTCGTGTCACGAGCACGCTCGGCTCGGCTCCCGAGCCGGCTGGACGCGAAGTTGACGGCTCGTCGGCTGCAGCCGCCCCCCCCCCCCCCCTGTGGTTTCCCGCGGGGGCGTTGGCAGAAGAGTGGGCAGGGCACGCCGTGGCATTCGTTTCCAAGGTGTTGGCCTGCTGTGTGCCGTCATCTGCCCAGATCGGAAAAGATTTTGAAATGTTTCCCGTGACCAAATTGCAACGGCAAAAATATGACAGATTTTCTTCGTTTTTCGCCTTTCCCCCGAGTCTCGTGCACAGACGAGAGAGAGATCGCGTCCCAGCGGCGTGGTGGGATAAGTCATCTAGTGGAGTGGAGATGATCCGAATAGAAGCAAAGGAGCTCGTTGAACTAGAGGCAGTGGCCTTGCAGGAACATCTGTGGTTGGCCCTTCTGGGTTTGAGTTTTTTTTTTTTTCGCGCAGACAGCTCGCGCCCGGCCATAGCCGTAAACTCCTGTCGAGCTCACGGGACGTTCTGCACCGCCTCCGACACACAGACTCGGCCGCCAGCTCTGGAGATTTGGCCACTCGGCCTGGACTTGAGAGCCCGGGTTGAGGGTAGCGGAGAGCGAGAGAGGTGAGGCATCGGGGGGGGGGGGGGGGGTGGCTTGGTGAGCGCCACAGTGAGGAGCTGACGGCTGTCTGGACATCTCAGGCAGGTTGTGCTCGTTGATTTGTCACAGCCGTTTTAACAGCAAATCTGCCACGTTCCATTCTTGCTCTTGCACAATTGGCGATTCATTTTCCGGAACTCTTTCGTCCCACAAAAGTTGAAACACCCAGCAGTTGCGACGGGCGTCATTGTTTGTGGCTGCTAAAAAAAAAAATTTTGCCTATCGCGTGTCAAATCATCGTGAGATTATTCGATTGTGCCGATGACAAGTGGCAAAAGACGGTCAAAGTATGCGGTGTTATTCGAAGAGCCAAAACCCACAATGAAGAAACTGAACGCGCGGGGGCAGGTAGCCGCCTTCTCGTGATTCAAAGGCCAAATGACGCAAGTGCATCCTTTTATAGATGCGAGGGTTTGTTGCCACCGGTTTGTGCATTGAGAGATCTATACATACGCATCGGGAGATCGATACATACCCATCTCAAGGAGGCCACCACAGACAGAGAATGCTCACACAGAGCCCTCCCCAGATGCGCCCTGCTGGCTCGTAAGACAGACACCGTCGGTGACAAACGGTGGCTAGGAGATGTTAACTCCCTCGCCTGGTATACAGGAGGCCGTGGGTTCGATCCCGATCCTGACAATGCCTGTATATTTGGAGTTTGCGGTGTCCCTCTCCCCTTGGCCGCGTGGATTTTTCTCCGGGTCCTCCGGTTTGTCTCTCCACATTCGGAACCACCGTGCGTTTAGAGTAATTTGGCTGCTACAAATGCCCACGTGACGATAAGCCACTTCCGTTGAGCTATCATTTGTGATCGTCAAGAGTCGCTTCTGAAAAAGAGCTGTGTAGCTCAGTGGGTCCCATACCTGGTAAAAAGGTAAAAATGTAACAATCGGTTTCCAGAAGGGGACAAGTGGGCCCTGAAGTCAAAAAGACGCGCACCTGGGCTCGGAGGAACCTCGGCAGTGGCACCGTTGGGGTTCCGGTGCTCGGCTTCTATTCACGTTGGTGTCAGGAGCATTTCGGGTCATGGTGGCAGACGGCGGGGGAGAGAGAGACAGTGTGTGTGTGTGCTGTTTGGCAGAAAGTAAAACAGCAGGGGAGGGGCTCCCACTCGGTCACGTGGTATGCAGACACAGAGCTGCCTCCCGGCTCACTGCCCAGCGACCCAGGTCACATCTCTCCCTGTCTCGCTTTGATGACCCAAAGTTGGCACGTGAGTGGTGTACTCTGTACAAAGACAATGATACCCCCGTGTAGCCTTAGCAGGCTGTTGGGGGCAAGTGCTTGTTAGCGAGTAGGGCATGTGAATGCCGGCACGGCGCTCGATGGGGGTGGGTGGCCAACACCACGCACGACCGCCTTTGCCTCTTCACAGTGGCGATGTTTGCACACCACCGCACCGCGTACTAATTTGAGGCCGAGTCAACCTAGTGGAGGCCCAGCACCGACTCAGATAATCGCCACTGGAAGTTGTCAGTGGGAACTCCCAAAGCCCTCGGGAAAACGACGCTACAGACTGCGTGCTCCTGCAGGAAGCGTGTGTCCGTGCTGCACAAGGCTGCGGTGGTTGCAGTGAAGTGCCGGACACGGCCGCGGTTGGCTAGACGACAGAATGGCAATCGGCAAGGAGCATCTACGGAGCAGTGAAGAGCCCCATCAACCCGAATACAAAACTAGCAAGCGTCGCTTTATTCTTAAACCCTTCGCTCGCGTGACCCAGCACGTGGCCAATGGAGAGGCCAATGCTCCCGCGAAATAATCGCTGTTCCAAGATTCCAAGCGAATAGATGGGACTAAACGGCCTTTCCCTGACTAAAACACGAATGCCTCCAAAACTCTGCAAATGTTTCAGCCGTGAAACTTCACTCTCCGCCACAAATGCTGCCCGTTTGCATCCGCTCCCTCTCTCTTCGAGTTCCGCCTAATTCACTCACCCCGCCCCCCCCGCCCTCTGTTGTCCCGAGCAAAAAATCTTCGTTGGTCTCAGCCACTTTTCTCAGGCAGCAAAGAGGGGTGGAGCGGGGGGGGGGAATGTATCGGCGTGACTTCGACCCTGTCCAGCGGTGCGTCTGTGCTTTAACGCTGACCTTCCCCTCCGCCCCGCCGACCATTCCGCCGATCTCTTGTGAGCGCCAGTCCGGTGTCTGCGACCTCTCCAGACACTTTCCCCGAGATGGGACGGAGCGGCGAGACGCCGCCTTGCGAGGAAACCGCGGCGACGTTCGGTCGATGTCGAGAGTCGTCCTGGCGAAGCGACGCTCCCGCACGTGCCCCCGAGGGTGGGGGGCGGGGGGGGGGTGGGGGGCGGGGGGCACCTTGCGCCATCTCGCGAGGACGGCACGACAAGTTTACAGCTCTGAATTTAAAAGTGTAACTTCCGTAGTCGATAAGTTCTTTGTTTTTTTCACTGCCCCACCACCACAACACCACCCTGCCTTTCTCCCCCCCCCCCTTCTCTAACAATGTCTCTCTCTGTCTCTGCCAATTATTGCCTCGTGGGCACTGACACCGTGGGTGTGTGTCGCGTGGTGGTGTTAACTGCGATGGGTTACTGCCTTTGATGATGATGATGGTGGTCACAGCGAGAAATACACCAGAGATAGAAATATAATAATAATAATAAAACAACAATAATGTTGGATATTTCGAGGAGTTAAGCTGCGCGTGGATCATGGGTGTTCGAGCCAGCCATCTCTGCACCGAGCACGACTGAAAGAACAAAGCTTAGCCATGGTTTACACGTCTTTCTAATCGTTATTATAATTAGTATCATTAAATGTCGTAGATCTTGGCACGCGCCTTTTCGATGTAATTTTCCACCAAAGCATGGCTTTGCTGTCGATAGCCTCGTCCCCTCCTCTTCCCCTCGTCGCTTTCTCGGTCGGGGGCAAAGTTTCGCGTCGGACGTTGGGTGGTGAATATCAGCTTGTGGCCCGTTCGCGTTTGCCGGATGCATGAGGACGGGCAGAGGCACGCGCACGCGCGGTCTTGACGCCGAATTCCCACTGTGTGCAGCAGGATCGATCACTTGCAGCAGCTAGCAGCAGTTAGCAGCAGCAGCAGCATCACGCTGGCTTGCACTGTGGGCTTACTTAAAAGCGTTATTAAATGTTACGCTGCTGTGTCCTTATTTTTTTCTATTGCGTTTCACTTTTTCTCCCCGCCCCCATCCCCCCCCCCAATCGTCCGCCCGTAGCGTCGCGGTTTTTTTTTTTTAACCACGCAACTACCACTGCTACTACTCCACAACAAGCCGCACTTGCACATTCGTACAAACACACGCATATCTATGGGTATAGAAACGCCGCGGCAGCACGATTTTGGTGAAACCACATTCGACAACTCGGGACGCACGACGGGACTCTGTTGCACGCCAGGGCGGGCGGTGGCGGTGGCGCTCGGGGTTGGTTGGGCCCTGCTGCAACACCACAAAATCTCTTTTGGGGGGGCTCGCCCAAGTTCACTCTCTCAAGCGATATATGTAGGGTGCTTCACAAAAAATGTTAACACTTACATGGGACTATCGATTTTGATGGGAAAAGAACGGATAATTGACTGTAACATGATAACAAATGTACATTAATAGCTTGAAAAAGTCAGAGTCTCCACTTGCTCGCCATCGTTGTCAACGCGTGCCCTGGAATCTTCTCCAGGTGGTCTCCAGAGTCCGGAGGCAGCAGCACATGTCACGTGGTTTTTGTTGCAAATCCCCCGCAGTGTTAACATTTTTTTGAAGCGCCCTGTATATCTAAAACAATATACAGTATATACGCGTGTAAAATCACCTGCCGTGCTTGTCATTGCACCGCCCTGCACGCTTGATAGCTACAACCCCGGTGCCTTCCTCGGCACCGTAGGGATGGA